GTATAGAGGTGTTAATGACATGAAATTTTCACCAGATGTCCTTACACAGCTCTCTGGTCTTGGGCATTGTGGAGATGCTGGAGTCTGATTGATTGATTGAGTGTGTGGACAGGTGTCTTTTATACAGGTAACGAGTTCAAACAGGTGCAGTTAATACAGGTAATGAGTGGAGAACAGGAGGGCTTCTTAAAGAAGAACTAACATGTCTGTGAGAGCCAAAATTCATACTGGTTGATAGATGATCCAATACTTATTTCACACAATAAAATGGAAATTATTTAAAAACCATACATTGTATGTTTCTGGATTTTTGTTTTAGATTCCATCACTCACAGTTGAAGAGTACCTATGATAAAAATTACAGTCATCTACAAGCTTTGCAAGTGGGAAAACCTGAAAAATCAACAGTGTATCAAATACTTGTTCACCCCACTGTGTGTTTTTTAATGAATGCAGATGATTATAATAAAACTAGCAAAAGTTTTGATGCCTTAATATGTATCAAATTAACAGAAAAAAGAAACATAGCTGCACACTGTTCATTTAACTGTTGAAATTGGAATCATCATATCAGGAAGGTAAATTCCATTCAGCACTCGTTGTCAGCCTCTCTGCTCAGATTCATGCGTCACGCAAAAATCTCACACTACATGGTTTTAATGTGGCCTGACAGAAGAGGAACGAATGACTTTGTTTCCAATGAACTTCTAAATATTTTTAAATCGAAAACGGTCACTACCACTTGTAGCAAAAGAATAAAAAATAAAATTAATTTAAAAATGATCGAACCACAAAAATGTGCCGAACAATGAAATTATAGATAAAACAAGCAGAACTGAAACCAAAATCAGTTAAACTGTATCAAAAAGCAAAAACTAGCTAAACAGTATCAAAAAGCAAAAAACTAGCTAAACAGTATCAAAAAGCAAAAAACTAGCTAAACAGTATCAAAAAGCTAAAAATCAGTTAATTGTAGCAAAAAGCAAAATTAGCAAACTATTTCAAAAAAATCAAATCAACTAAAACATAAAAATTGTTTAAAAATATAAATATATTAGCTTAAATTTAAATCAGCGAAACGGTTACTAAAAGCAAAATTAACAAAACTATTTATAAGCTGAAATTAGCTAAGCTAAATCTAAAAGCTAAATATAAGCAAAAGTGTTTGATAACTAAAAATGGGCTAATTTGACAATAAAAGGCTAAAAATTGGCTAAATCAATGCTATAATTTTTGCCACCCACTAAAACTAAAACCCTAAAATCAGCAAAACTTCATTAAAATTCAAATCTGATTTTGATGGTAAAAATAAGTTACACTGTTGCTAAAAACTAAAATTAATACAAGCAATGTCAAAATTAGCTAAACAAATAAGAGCAACAAATAAAAAAGAGCTAAATGTTAGCAGAACTGAAGCTAAATCACCAAAACTGTTGCTGAAAGTTAAATAAGCTAAACTGCTGCTAAATGCTACAAATTTATCAAATACTAAAAGCTTAAAATCAGCTAAACCTTTTATTAAATAATAATCAGCTAATCTGATGCTAAATGCTAAAAATTGGCTAAATTGATGCTAAAAATAAAAATTAACTACACTGATACTAAAGGCTTAAAATCAGCTTAACTTAAAATTAAAATCAGCTAAACCTTTTATTAAATGATAAACATCAGCTAAACCGATCTAAAATGATACACACCAGCTAAACTGATGCTAAATGCTAAAAAT